ATGGAAATCAGAATGGAGGTTCCTCAAAAACTAAAAATAGACCTAATCACTATGGGGGATTTACTCCAAGACTTCAAGTCAATATACCACAAAGATATTTACACATCAATGTCTATTGCATCAGTTTCCCCAATAGTTAAGTTATGGAGCTGTGGTGGTATTGCGTTCCCCAAAATATTGTGCACCCTAATAAACTTATCTGGGGTCAGAGACAGAACAGCCACTAGATACAAAGGCTAGAAAATGGTGGCACCCACACTTTTAATCCTAGCACTCCAGAGGTAGAAATCCCTCTGGATCTCTATGAGTTCAAGGCCACAATGGAAACAGCCAGGCATGGTGACACACGCCTTTAATTCCAGAAAGTGAGCCTTTAATCCTAGGGAGTGGTGGTAGAAAGCAGAAAGGTATATAAGGTGTGAGGACCAGAAGCTAGAAGCATTTGGCTGGTTAAGCTTTCAGGCTTCTAGCAGCACAGTTCAGCTGAGAGCCATTCGGATATGAGGACACAGAGGTTTCCAGTCTGAGGAAACAAGACCAGGTGACCTAGGTGTCCATCAACAGGGGAATGGATAAGGAAAATGTGGTGTATGTAGATGATGGAGTTCTGTCCAGCCATAGTGAAGAATGCAGTAATGTTATTTGTAGGAAAATGGACGCGACAGGAGAGAACTGTGAGAAGTGAATTGAGCCAGTCTTAGAAAGATACACATATTTTATTATGTGGTTCCTAGATTTTATATAGACATATAAACTAACATATGCATACATGACAGGAAAGTAGAGTGATTGTAGAATATAGAGAAATCAAGATTGACCTAAATTGGAAGCTGCTTCTCTGCTGGCTAGCTTTTGTAGTGTTGGGAGGTGTTACGTAGGCTGTTGGTGGTGAAAAGTCAATGATCTTACCCAGCTGTGCACCCCATAGAGTGACAAGACACATCTGTCAAGCAAGATGTGCCCACTGGTGCAATAATGGCATGACTATTATGGGGATAACCAATGGCTTTCTGATTATAATAGAGGCCTGCTTCACAGGAGGGAATTCATTCCTGCTACTGTAAACCCGGTCAAAAGCGATGGCTGGGGAAGTCATGGGCCCCAGTGAGGAAGTTACTGCTGTTGTTCTGCTAAATGAACCTGGTGTCACACTGCCTCCTAAATATTTGTTTAGAACCATAGATTAATGCTGCTTTCAGCTTTGGTCAGAGAAGCTTTTGTTTGCAGTGGGTGACCCCACAGAGACTCATAACTGGTCAGAGTGTTGAGAGTAAGTAAATCTAGAGTGCTCAGACTTACTCTAGACATTTATATATATATGTCTAGATTATCACCCCCTCCAAAGATCAGAAAGAGATGGAAGAAAGAATATAGAAACCAGAAAATTAGTGAAGAGTTCGGTGAAACGGTTTTCTGGACACAGCATGGCTAATGCACTCACAAATTAAAATAAGCTTTAGCTATCTGCACAAGACCTACTCAAGACAGGGCTTGTTGATGTTCAATCATGGATAGAGGAACAATAGAGGTGAGTCCCTCCTCCTCCTCCATAAGGAGATATTGACAATTAATGGTTTCTGGGGGTCAGGGTAGTCAATTTCTTCAACGGTGTGGCTGCTGGTGGGTTGTCCATGCTCCAGTTAATAATACCAACCCAAGGCCATGCCAGTAACCCTAATTAGATTTAGTCTCTCTCTCTCTCTCTCTCTCTCTCTCTCTCTCTCTCTCTCTCTCACACACACACACACACACACACACACACACACACACTCTACAAAACAGAACAGTTGAAAGTGAGAAAAGGGAGGAAATCTGTGGGAGTGAGAGGGGAAAGACAGAGTCATGGGTGGTGAAATGACCAAAATATATACTTGCATGAAACTGTCAAATAAAAAAAATCATCAGCAACAAAGAAAGTATAAATAGCTGGGTGGTGGTGGCACACGTCTTTAATCCCAGCACTCTGGAGGCAGAGGCAGGTGGATCTCTGAGTTTGAGGCCTGCCTGGTCTATAAAATGAGTTCCAGGACAGCCAGGGCTACACAGAGAAGCCCTGTCTTGAAAACAAGCAAGCAAGCAAACAACGAAACAAACAAAAAAGAAAGTAGAAATGAAACAGCTAGGAGAATAAAAGAGAGTGGGGGAGGTCGGGATATGGAGAGTCTGCTCAATGCATGATACACACTTGTATGAAAATGACCTTATGTAATACAATACTATTCATAATAAACATATACAACTAAAAATTAAAAGAAAAATAGTTATCACATCCTTGTTATGTAAGATATTCAACTGGAGTACAAAGGAATTGTTTTGAATTAAAACAGACCACAGAGAATTAATGATGGGACTTAGCGATTTTGTCACTGGGAATTTGACGAGTGTAGTTTGAGTGGAATGGTGGAGGACAAAGCTATGAGAATGGCTTAGGACATCACAGGCCTCTCTCCCAAGGAGTAAAATTGGAGTGGAGCTGTCTGGAGGGATACAGGGAGTTAATGGTGCTTTCTTGTTTTGTTTTAGGGTGGAAGAAATCATAGTGTTTTTGTGTGCTGCTTGTAATGATCTTGTAGGTGTGGATGCTGATGATACAGGAAAGGACCCTTGCTAGAGGGATGCCCTCAAGTAGGAAAGAAGGTAGGAGACTTTAGTGATGCGTTGGGGCTGGCTGCAAACATAGCTATTACTAAATATCAATTATTTTGCAGTTATAATTAAGAAATTATATATATATATATATATATATATATATATATATATATATATATATTTGTTTGTTTGTTTTTGAGACAGGGTTTCTCTTTGTAACTCTGACTTTCCTGAAACTCACTCAGTAGACCAGGCTGGTCTTGAACTCAGAGATCTATCTGGCTCTGCCTCTTGTGTGCTAGGATTAAATGTATACACCACCAATGCCTGGCTAAGAAATTATATTCTAAAGGGTAGTAAATATTCAAGAGGCATCACTTTTTTTTTCATCTTACACACCAACCACAGATCTCCCTCTCTTCCCTCCTCCTGTCCCCCAGCCTTCCCCCCTAACCCCCCCCCCCCCCATTCCATCTTCCCACAAGGTAAGGCCTCTCATGGGGAGTCAGCAGAGCCTGGAACATTCAGTTGAGGGAAGTCCAAGCCCCTCCCCCTGCATTAAGGCTGTGCAAGGTGTATCACCATAGGTAGTGGGCTCCAAAAAAGCCAGTTCGTGCACCAGGGATGGATCCTGATCCTACTGCCAGGGGGCTCCTTAAGAAGATCAAGCTACACAGTTGTCTTGCTTAGGCAGAGGGAGGCATCACTTCTTAATGATGTCACTTTGCTCATTATATATATTGATATTATCTTTTACTAACCCTATGTGGATGGTGGAGATATTCTGCCGGTCCTGTGCTCTATCCCCAACTTTATACATAGTGAGATTAGCTTTAAACACAGTAGTATTCTCATCACAAGAATTGGCAACTTAGAGAGGAAAGGACTTATTTGCCTTATAAGGGAGGGTGACTTGTTAAGTATTTGTGTACCCAGCCTGGATTTGGAAGCCAGGGGGGCAGAGTGTCCCTAAAGTAAGTGTGGAGAATTCTAAAATAACTGAGGAGAATTCATTCACAAGGACAGAGGTGAAATGTTTCCTGTTATTTATGAGGAGAACATCCAGGTTACGGCCTGGGAACCGGGTAGGGAAAGGAGGCGATGGTGGTCTGGGATGAAGGGAGGCGAGGGAGCGCATAGATTGGAGATTTTTTTTTTTTTTTTTTGGTTTTTCGAGACAGGGTTTCTCTGTGTAGCTTTGTGCCTCTCCTGGAACTCACTTGGTAGCCCAGGCTGGCCTCGAACTCACAGAGATCCGCCTGGCTCTGCCTCCCGTGTGCTGGGATTAAAGGCGTGCGCCACCACCGCCCGGCGATTGGAGATATTTTGTTTGTAGATAGAGCATTGGCCTGACACCATTCAGAGGCCCCTTGGAGGGCCTGAAGGCATATAACATAGTTGGAAGAGTACTTGCCCTGAGCCCGATCCCCAGCACCACGTAAAAAGTTGAGAATGCTGGTATATATCTGTAAGCATAGCCTCTGGAGGTGGAGGCAGGAGAACCAGGAATTCATGGTAATCTACTAACATAGCAAGGTTATATGAGACCCCTCTCTCTTAAAAAAAAAAAAAAAAGCTGGGGTGGGGAGAAAAACCCAACAACACACACACACACACACACACACACACACACACACACACACACACACACAGAAAAAAATAGCAAGAAATGGGGGGATGGAAGAAAAACCAAGGTCCCTTGAGGTGGATAGTTTTGGGTTCAGATAACAGGGTTTGTCTCCCAGAGTGACCCCGAATAGACCACGCAAACGTGGATGTCAACACCTTAGGGAATGTTCCTGTTCAACCTAGCACCAACATGTCTTAGGCCCTGGGACTTTATTTGCCTACATTATTGAGTGGGTGTCAGCCCACGCCTCATTCATTTTACCCAGCAGCAGGGACGGTTTGAATTCGCTGCTGAGTCTACAGTCTACAGCTCTACACAACCCGTGTGCAGAAACAGGTGAATAACTTAGTGAATAAATGTAACACTTGCTTCTAGTAACAACTGCTCTTTGGAGGAAAGAAAACATTTCTTCTGTATCCCTTTTCTTGCTGGCTGGTGCTTTTTTCTGGTTGGTGCTTACTTAACCTTAGCCAAGGAACTTCCTAGAGCTGGATACATAGGCCAACTCTATTTCCTAGATGGTTCTGGGAGAAGGGCAGTTTCCTCCTCGCCAGAGGCCCAGCCCCACCCCTCAGGCAGCCGTCCAGATTAGCGAAGCGTGCCGACGCTGGCCTTTGTGTCGCTGGACTTATCTGAGCAGGGCTGTCACACCACACACTCCCACGGTTTCAGGGCAGAGGCTCTCCTATTTATTACACCTTGTTTCTATTTGGTTCTGTCAACAAAGGATAAAACTGTGACCTCCGGCAATGATGGCTTAAAATTCTGGCTGCAAAGAGCAGGGTTGCAGGGTATAACCGGGTGGCTCAGAGGCAGGGCAGGCGTGGCCAGGGTGGGGACGTGGACTGAGCCTGGCTTCCCGGTCGCTGGGGTCTGGGGCGTCTCCGGTGATATCTTTATAAGGCACAAGTGAAAGGGAACGCGGGTGTGACCTGTAGCCTTGTCTCCGAGGGGGACAATAAAGTTTGAGAAGTTTGAAAAGGGGAGAGAAAGTGCACGCCCCTTTGGCTACAGGGTGTGGCCAGAGCTCGGCGGCGAGGCGCCTGGAGGAGGGTGCGCGCGACATGGGGGTCACCGTGGACGTTCACCAGGTGTTCCAGTACCCCTTCGAGCAGGTGGTCGCCTGCTTCCTCCGAAAGGTACCAGTCCCTCCGACCTGGGCGGTGCGTCCGCTGCCGAGAGCCTGAACTGCGTCCCCCCGCGCCGCCCCCCCCCCGTCCTCCCCCCTACGCCTTGCCGCGCGGTGACAGGACCCCAAAGCACAGGGATCCAAACCCACTCTCCAGGTCCCTCTCCAGGGCGCGTGCTTCTTTGGGATGCACAGGGGAGGGTGGAGGCTCAGTTCCTCGAAGGCTGCTCTCAGGACCGGAGGGTGCCGTGCCGGGCATCACGTCCACATCCTGCCCGCCTCAGGCAGAGAGGGTGGGCTCTGGGTGGCCTCCCTGGGTGGACAGTCTAGTATGGCCTTCCAGTCATCACCCACTCCTTACGCATGCCCTTTAAGCTGTGATCTTGGTAACTCAGCATTACTCTAGTGTTCCAAGACTTTCTCTTTTACTAAGTAGCTGTGGGACTCCCTGCAATCTGTAGTGTTGAGAAAAACAGTGCATACTCCTAGTGTTGTCGTGTGGATTCGAGAGAGATAATTAATTCTTTTTTGTTTGTTTGTTTGTTTGTTTTTCTAGACAGGGTTTTTCTGTGTAGCTTTGGCTGTCCTGGAACTCACTCTGTAGACCAGGCTGTCCTTGAACTCACAGAGATCCGCCTGGCTCTGCCTCCCGAGTGCTGGGATTAAAGGCGTGCACCACCACCGCCCGGCCAAGATAATTAATTCTTAAAGAGTGTTTATCCAAGCATCGATGGTTATAAGTCTTTGAAATACTGCTGCTTATAATATTGCAGTTTTGGATTCTATGGCCCTCATGATGAGGGTTCCTCCTAGGACTGTGCCTCAGGCTAACAGTAAAAGTGAAACACATCCTTGAGAACTGGTTGTCACCTAGGCCTGTGTGGTGAGACCCTGGACTAATCTGTTTCCGGTTCAGTTAGGTCTCTGGGTGACCCTGGTCAGAGATCATCTCTCCAAGATCTAATGTCTATAAGATGAGGAGTTGTACCCATATGTCTTTAAAGTCCCTTCAGCTTTCACAGTGTTGATCAAGACTTGGCATGATTGCAGCTGCCCTCGGCATGTAGCATGGGATCTGTATAGCCTGAAGTTAGTTAGACCCAGGGAGTGCTGGGAAAATGGTTAGAGCTTCCATTACAGGAGGGGCCTCCATTACTGAGGGAGACACAGCTGGGGACCCAAGTTAGTGAGGGTTGAGTAGGTACTCCTACAGTGTTGCTATGGAGACCTTTCTTTTTCTTTCTCTCCCCCGCCCCCTTTCTTTTTTTGTGGAATAGCTCATTGAACTTTGGAAGCTAGAAAGTGCCTTGTACTTGCCAGGTCCTCCACAAAAGTCTGAAGAAATCAATGAAGAAATGAATGAGTGAGTGAATCTGGTGTAGACTTTGTCTTAGGCCAGGCTTCTAGGCACATGAAAGAAACAGTTGACTCCCCATGCTTCATTCAGACTGGCAGTTTGGAGTGTGGCTACCTAGTGCTTTTTGTGTTGGTCGCTTTTCCACCATGATGAAATAATTACTGGGGATAATGTCTGTACTGGTTCACTGTTAGGAAGGCTCCGGTCCCTAATGACCTGTTCTAGCTGGATTTCTGTTGTAATAAAACATGGACTAAAGGCAGCTTGGGGAGGAAAGGATTTATTTCAGCTTACAGGGTGCATTTTATCGTTGCATGAAGTCCAGGCAGGAGCACAAGGCAGAAACTGAAGCAGAGACCGTGGAGGAATGCTGCTTACTGGCTTACTTTCCCGGGCTCGCTCAGCTACCTTTCTTCCGGTCTCCTATAACAGCTCATGGAGCTCTGAACACTTCACCTTTTCCAGCCCCAAGCTCTAAAATCCTTCCACAATTCTCCCCCCCAAAACAACATGGTCAGGTGCATCACAGCAACATTCCACTGTTCTGAACCAATTTCTGTCCTATTTTGCTCCTCTGTTGCTGAGATAAAACACTGACTAAAAAGCAACTTGGGGGACGGAAGGATTCATTTCATCTTACCCTCCCCGGTCACAGTCCATCACTGAAGAAAGCCAAAGCAGAATCTCAACTCAGGGTCCCGGAGGCAGGAACTGAAGCACAGGGCATGGAGGGACATCACTGGCTTATTCTCCATGCCTTGCTCAGCCTGCCCAGGGATGGCACCATCCAGAGTGGGCGGAGCCCTCCCACATCCATCATTAATCAAGGAATTGTCCCTCAGATATGCCCACAGGCCAGTCTGAAAGATGAAATTCCTGAATTGAAGTTCCATCTTTCCAGGTGATGCTACTATGTGTTAAATTGACAAAAAAAAAAAAAAAAAAAAAAAAAAAAAATCACCACCCCAGTTGCCCTGCCGTTCTGAGCCTGTGGAGGGGCAACATCTCTTGGTGGGAGCCCATGGTGGAGCAAATCTGCTTGGGTCTGAGCCAGGGAGCGAAGTGCAAAAGGGTGGATGGGCTGGAGTCCCATAATCCAACTCAAGGACAGGTATTCACTGCGTTAGGGCCTCTTCCCACAATTCTCTACTTCTTCCAGGGTCCACCACCATCACCCAATAGGACTGCCCTGGGACCTAACCATTAACACACAGCCTGTGGGGAGCAGTCAAGATGCAGACTGTAACTGCCTCTTGGGGAGGGATTGTCATCATGAAGGGAGACCTCTGCCTTCTCAGAATGGAGGGATACTTGATCTAGGCTTCACTGGCCGTCGAGAAGGTCAGAGATGACTTCTGTGTACCACACTGCACACACTCTTCTTTGTAGTGTGCACCCACATGCTGGTTTTAGGTAAAGGTGATGGGTTTTAGAGAGTGAGACCAACATTTAATGACGACGACGACGACGAGGTTAGCATAATTTCAGTGGGTGATGCATACTTCACACCAGGAGCATACAGGGTGGTGGGGAGGCCTGCAGCAGTCCCACATGGAGCCCTTTAGGTAGGCTTTCTCAGAAAAGTGACAGCTATAAAAGGTTTGCTGAAACATGGATAGGAGTTTTCTTGGCAAGTGACTCCTCCCTCCCTCCCTCTCTCTCTCCTTCCCTCCTCCCTCCCTCCCTCCCTCCCTCCCTCCCTCCCTTCCTCCCTCTGTCTCTTTCTCTCTCTTTCACTCTATGTGTATGTCTATGCACACATTCATGTATGTATGTATGTGTCTATGTATGTATATATGTATATGTGTGTGTATATATGTGTATGGGTGTATACCTGTGGGTATATGCTCTGAATAATAGTGTCATCTCTACTCCTCCAAGCAACCTAAGAAGTCATCATGACTGACTCATTCACATCGTAGGGAAACTGAGGCTCAGAAAAGCTCCCCCAGCTAGCAGGTAGCGGAGCCAGGATCTCAGCCCAACAGAATCCGAAGCCCATGTCTCATCAGCAGCCTGTCCTTCCAGCCCTAACACAGGAGACGATGTGGGGAGGGCAGTGGCTGAAGGCTCAGCTCTGCTGGGTGTGGTGCCCTTTGGTTCATTTACCGCCTCTCAGGGTCCGCTCTTCTGGGTGGACCCCTGTATCTAACATGAAGCTTAGCTTAGATGTGTGATGATGGGACACAGCCATTGTTAGCCATTTCTCTGCAACAAATCACTCCAGAACTTAGTGGCCTTGCCTAGCGACAGACTTTTAATTCTGGTGATTCTGTGGGTTGAGCTCATGTGGTTGGATTTAGTGTGTCATGTGGTGTGGCTGAGGTCACTTATATAAGTACATCCAGTCAGCGTCTGATGCAGTTCTTATAAATCAGCTAAGTGTTTGGCACGTTTGAGAACTATGGAAGGACCCAGGTGTGGTGATTTATGCTTGTAACCCAAGCCATGGTGAGTCTGAGGCAGGATGGTCATCACACACTTGTGGCCACTGGGCTACCTAGCTGGACCCTGTCCCAGAAAACCCCAAACCAAATAAATTAAACCAAAATATCAACAAAAAGGGATTTGTGTAGGCAGCCCTAGCTACTGTGAACGATGAGTGGAACTTCCTGTTATGTCCAGAAGACATTTCTGGTCCTCCCAACCTCTGGGTCTTACAGTCTTTCTATCCCCTCTTTGAATGGTCTCTCTGAGCCTTGGTGTGTGTGTGTGTGTGTGTGTGTGTGTGTGTGTGTGTGTGTGTGTGTGTGTGTGTTGTTGTGCACTCCACAGTCCCTTATGCTCTTCAATTTGACTAGCTGTGAGCTTCTGTGTTAGCCACCAGCTACTTCAGAAAAACACTTCCCTAAATGAGGTCAAAGAGCTGTTAGACACTCAGCATTCTAGTATGGAGTGGAAAGGGGTTCATGAGCCTCCCTAACTGATTGCCTATGGGCAGTTTATGGCTTCTCAGGGAGGAAGAGTTAGTTTCCTCAAGGGTGTAGCTCCTGGTAAGTCTACACTTCAGTAGATGCCCCCACACCTACAACTAACTATATGGACGGTATAACTTAGAGTGGATGGGATATTATATAATAATAATAATAGTAAAAGGACATGAACTTGGGGTGGGTAGGAGGATGGGAGTAGGTCTGGGAGGAGAAGTTAAGGGGAGGAGTCGGGTGAATATGATCAAAGTTCACTGTGTGAAGGTCTCAAAGAATTATAAAAATATGTATTTTCTGAAAAAGGAATGACTTCCTCAGGGTGGATATGGTCCACTGACTCGCCTGATGGGGAGCTCCAATGCAACGAGCAGCATGCTCAGCCGTATACACAGCCTCCTCTTCTCATGGCGATGCCACCACCTTCTAGGCTGGTTGTGAGGATCAAAAATGTAGCAGTTTGACAGGCATGTGCTTCTTATAAAGCCTTGGGTGGAAAGAGTTATATTTTGGGCAAAATAGGCTTTTACTTTTTTTTTGGTCTTTATGCTGCTGATTTTTTTTGAAAAAAATAATTGATTTTTTTTTTTAAAGCAAAGCCATAGGCCGAAGGGACAGTCACGTGAGAAGCTCTGGGGACATTTAATCTGATTTTGCACAATGGTGGGCGAAGCTGCTTTAGAACTGAGGACATTGTGTTTTAAATAGAATCTACTGATCTGTGGC